CAGGAGGGGAAGACCCTCTATGAGATGGATTGATTTGGTGACTGGGGTAATCGGGATGGGTGTGTCAGAGGAGGTGAGGTTGGCGCAGGATAGAGCAGGGTTTAGAGCTGTTGTGCATCGGGTCGCTATGAGTCGGAAACAACAACAACAACAATTCATATGTTTGCTTTCCTGAGTGCTTGTGCCAAGAGTTTTGATTGTGAAGCTGAGAGAGCTCAAATTGTTAACAACTTCAATATATTTTCCATCTATAATGGATTTGCGAGTTGAACCAGTGTTAATAATATTTGTCTTCTTAATGTTGAGCTTCAATCTTTTTTGAAGACTACAGTCCTTTACATTTTGCAGTAAACATTTTTTTCAGTCCATCCTCAGTTTCTACAGGCAATATTGTGTCATCTCCATAATATATATTGTTGAGGAGTCTTCCTCCAATCCTGATATAACATTCTTCCTCACAAAGTTCAGCCTCCCACATGAGCTGTTCCATATACAGATTGAAAATGTATGGAGACAGGATGCATCCCTTCTGAACTCCTTTTCTGATTTTGTACTATGCAATGTTCCCTTGCTTTATTCTGAGGTCTGCTTACAGATCCAAGTATTTTTGCTTTAGAGGAAATATTTTTGTTGCTTCTCAAAGATTCCTACACTAATTTATCTCAGGGCTCTTAAGAGTACTTCTAAAAGGCTTTGATCTCTGTAGTTTAGAAGACTCACTCAGTAAACAAATGAACAGAGAGATAAAAAAGCACTATTTTGGATTATTTGCTCCTGATTTTGAAAAGTTTAGGAATATATTTCTTAAAATAGATATAAACTATTTTCAATTTATCTTTAGACTAAAAGAATTGTTTTTGCCAGCTCCGACTGAGTTGACATTTCTCTGACTATGGATGATTCTCAATTTGCACTGACATCATGCACAGAGAATAGCCTTTTGTGATTAGTGTAATTTCTATTGCCTAATGTTTCAGAAATAAATTGCCAGGTTTTTCTTCCTGACTAAAGGGTTGTTGCTGTTGTTGTTGTTATGTGCCGTCGAGCCGCTTGCGACTCATAGCTACCCTATGTACAACAGCCCTAAACTC